ACTACTACTACTACTACTACTACTACTACTACTACTACTACTACTACTACTACTACTACTACTTCTGCCACCACTACTACTACTACTACTACTACTTCTGCCACCACCACTACTACTACTACTACTTCTGCCACCACCACTACTACTACTACTACTTCTGCCACCACTACTACTACGAACGAACTACTACCAACTAACTAACTAACTACTACCAACTAACTAACTAACTACTACCAACTAACTAACTAACTACTACCAACTAACTAACTACTACCAACTAACTACAACTAACTAACTAACTACTAACTAACTAACTACTACCAACTAACTAACTAATTAACTACTACTAACTAACTAACTAATTAACTACTACTAACTAACTAACTAATTAACTACTACTAACTAACTACTTCTAACTACTACTACTACTACTACTACTACTACTACTACTTGTATCAAAACATAACATTAACCTAACTTTCTCCAAAACATCATTAATTTCATTTACATTACTAACACATTTATTATTGCCATGCCTCCAAGTTTAAACACTATTTTGCCACAATTATGCACACCAAGTTTCAATTCTTTATCGACCACAACTGAATTAACTATTTTAGGAGCAGAATTGTAATCGATGTGTACAAAAAGAACTCGGTCTTCCTTCTTGATAATAGACCAATATTCATCCAAAATAAGCAAGTTCAGTTTGCTTTTTAGTTCATCGAAAGTGCTAAATGATATTTCATTTATTCTTGCAATATTTTCTTTTGCACTTTCGTCAATAGCAGCAAGAAGGTACTCGTTTTCTAAACGTAATTTCTTTTCTTCCGGACTTTCTCTGTATGAAGTGCTTGGGCGGCTCAAATAATTTGGGCAATTGGGTAACACTGAAGGCACCGCTCCAGGAGACAGTCGTTGATGTTTTAGTGGAAGAGTGATTTTTTGTCCATCATCACAATAGAAGACTGATTTCTTCTCAATCCCCCACGATTGGAAATGCAATTCACAAACCTGAAAGTAAACAATGAGCTCAGAAACACCAAACGAAAAGACGAGTCTTTAAAAACCGTCTACCCTAGCATATTTTTATATAATTATTATAAAACAGTTTTAAGATAATGAAAACAATGTAAACATTTTTTAAATTCTTCTGGTACATTAAAATCACAAAAACTTTGAATCACTTACCACTGAGTGAACCACTGATGGAACAAAATTTTCCCTTTTTATCGCGTGAATCCATTTGCTTCGTTGTTGACTACCAGCAGGAAACTTAAAACATGTACATTACACATTTTGTCGTAATTGCCTCGACATTTGGGCACACAACACTTATTGACCATGACTGTAACTAATAAACGCAGTAGATCACACTTGATAATCACAACGTAATGTTGTGCTCAACGTACACAACAGATCATCAATACTGATGCGCATCGAACACGATCGCCTTCTCTATCCGCCATATTGGCTTTGGGAATCTCCAGTAAGCAGGCCTAGAATCTAGGTGGTGTTGCCTAAACGCAGTGTTGTTATGGAACATACTGACATAAAAATGGCCAACAACGAGTGCTCGAAAAGCAACGTAGGATCGGCAAATGGCGTCTTGTGACGGCCGCCACCCAGCAGCCTGACAAAAGATGTAGCAACCTCGTTGCCCGGCGCTATCTATTGATCATTTTTTAAACTTACAATATTCTTTTCACTTGATTTACGTCTAGGCCAGTGCTGTCTGCTGGTATTCTGTTTAACTGATCTCCCTTTTCACAACAATTCGGCGCAGTAGTGTGCAATCGGCATGGTCGGCATCATCTTTCCGATCCGTAGACAAACTATGTGAATGCTGTGTTCCGATCTTTGCGTCCAGTTTGTAATGTGCATTGAGATTGAGAATGGTTTGCAATTCTGTAAACTGCCTGAAAACAGTCAATGTAGTTATGATACAAGGCTGTGCATGAAGAGATTTGGACCACCTCGGCCTGATATAAAAAAATATACAATCTGATAGAAATGGCAATCGTTCTTTTGTACGGAAATTCCAAAGGGGTAAATGACCATATTAATTTTACGGGGAATTTATCCATGTGTTCTCTCCTTGATTGTAAAACGTTCCAACAATATCAAGAAAAATTCCCCC